ACGACTATATAATAGACTGACAGCACTGAACTCAGGTTTCCTGATTGATAAGAAGAATTCAGCCACAAATTGTACACAAATGGAAGATACTCTCGAATATGAGGATAGGTACCTTAATGATTATCTTTCTAACCACTTCGAAGCTCAAAGTAATAACAACATGGACGTCTACACCAAAATTGAAATTTTGAAGTTACCTTTTCAACGTGTTGATATAAATGTATTGGACTTTTGGAAGGAAAGACAGTTTGCTGATCCAGAATTACATGCGCTTGCGAATATATGTTTTGCAATTCCACCAAGTCAGGTAAAATATTCGTTTAGCATAATATGAATAATCAAATTAATGTCATTTACATTTAAGGTTACCATCGAGCGTGCTTTTTCGTCACTAAAATTGATATTATCTGATCAACGAAATCGTCTTAATCATGAAACTTTAGAAAACATTCTCATGGTTAAACTAAATCCGCAATTTTTGGACCATGCTATTGATGATATGCCGTTGTTTCAACCTCCTGAATGGGACTTAAATTTAGAAGAATAATAACATCAAATTAAAATTTTTAATCATAATTGATAACAAAGTTTTTATGTTTTTTACCGGGCGTAGGTCGTTTATTAAACACATTAATTTATAAAAACGTTTTTTAAATAAAATAAAAAATTTCACTTTTTAAACTGTTTTAAATATTAAGTTATATTTTAATTTTAATACAAAATTATTTATATATATTATATATATATATATATTTATTTATATATGAATTAATAGTTAATAATTAATATATATATATATATATCTATCTATATATATATATATATATCATATATATCATAAATTTAATAATTAAAATAAACATAAGTTTAGGCATAATCTAATTACAAATAAAATTATATTAATTGCATACAAATTGTACGCACACATCATAATTGACAAAGAAATAATGCGTACACATTCCCTTAAAACAAAAACAAAAAAAGAAATCCATACACATTTGCTAATAGCAAAACACAAGCAACTAACGCATAAGCAAGCAAGTTGCATATATTCCAAATGCATAATAGTCAAAAATGTAAAATTGACTATTAGCAAGCAATCAAAATGAAACCAGTTTACGTTTTTTGCTGTTGCTAATGCATATTCTTATTTCATTTTCATATGCAATGCGTTAGCAATTATGCAAGCAATGCAATTAGCAACAGCAATTCAAACCCTGGTTATAAGTTCATCAAAAAAAAGGTAATGTTGGAAGTCGAATAATATATGAGAATACAATAACAATCTTTATTTTAGGGTTCTTATGTCTTTAAATGATCGAATAATGGACTAAACCAAGTGAGCCATTTTGTACCAATAAGTTTTTACTCGCTAAATTTTTTGTTTTTGTTTGTATTTCGATTTTTATTTTCATTATAATTTCACAAAAAACAAAACATAAAACAACTGTACAAATAAATAATCATATTGCTTATAATATTGTTTATTAATAACATTGAAAAAGTTGTTAGCTAGTTAAATATTTTGTAAATTTAAAACTAAAACAATTTATTCAACGCGTCATATCAAATACTCTCCGCGTTCATTGAACTTGAATTATGATTCACTTGGATTTCTAATCACAGATCAAAACTGCGGTTGAACTTTGTTAAATGTGTGTCTCTAAGAAATTCCAGACTTATAATCTTATTAATTGTTGTTATTTTTATAACTAGTTTTTCTGCTAATTTATTAATTCTACAATTACATTCGGTAAATACAAGTTTCACGTAATTATTTTTTGCTTTTTTTTCAAATATTATGAAAAAATACTATTTATTCGCTTTGTGGTTATTAGATTTGTAGGTATAAAATCGACACTTGAGATTTTTCTAATAAATATATGAACACATAGTTCTTTTGTATATTAGTTTTATATTTCCAACATTTCTTAGTGAAAAATTTGTATCTTATCAAAGCAATTTAAACTTTTTTTGTATAACATGCATGCCATCAGTTGCGGTTTCAGAATATCTCTTTCAAATGTTTCTAATATCATTCAAAGTATCAACATACATATAGTTCCATTATATTAAAATTAGTTTTTTTTATTGACACTTTTGTTAACTATCTGTGTTCATTTAGTTCCATAAAATAATATTTCTAAATATTTGAAATTAATTTAAAGTTATTTGAGCGTTTCAAATACGTTTCGTCATGCTTGGACTAGCTAAATTATTTTAAAATAGCTCAAATTATTTAATATGCAAAATATATGTTTGTAAAATGTTTTACTTATTACGATCAACTATGCCTCATTACTGCATTTAATAACAATTCTATTTTTGAAATACTCAATGAGCACTTGTCTATAAATACTTTTTATAATTATATTTGCAAAGCGTGAACTGCAATGTAATTTTTAAGGATTGTTGAATATATTTGTATTTTCATTAGTGATTGTCTTTCAGTTATTAGATAAAAGAATAACATTCGTTTGGAAGTGAAAATTGTTTTTTATAAAATTACATATTTTATAATTAAAATAATATATTTTTACAATAACAATTAATATGGAATACTTGTGATCAATACACAAGTTTTACAATTAATGGGTAGATTTTAAAAGTTTATTACTTTAAAACAGATTTATTTACGAAAAGTTAGCAATTTAATATAAGTAAGAGTTTTTAATATAAAAGTATAATTTATTTATTTACTCGTATTTAAAATAGCACATTATAATATATGTAAATATTACATTGAGAAAGAAAGAAAACGATAAGGGCTACGTAGTCAACTTTCACACTTTAAAAATACAATTATTTTTTGATGATAGTAAAGTTATTTTGAGTTTATTTTAAAAATCAAAATTTAAATATTTTTAGTGATACTTTTATTATAATTTTTTTTTTAAACGTCCTTTATTACTATTGCTGGATTGTACTAAATAGATATTAAGTAATAGGTGTACGGGTTTACCGAACCAGTGTTCAGCTTCCATACAAATAATTTTTAATTTTTATACATTATTATCTATGTTAACTTATGAGGTTTTCTTTGCTTATAATTTTATAATTTTGGTAAAATTTATTCCATTTCCAAATCGATGGTGTATGGTAGATCTAATTTATATTTATTACTACTAATAATCTCAATAAGTTTAAATTGTGATATGTCTCTTTGCCTTAAAAATCTATATGTCAGCAGAAAATGTGATCTTTTTTCTTCAAATGAAACTTAAACTTTCTAGAAGATTACACGTTTAATATCGCCTTTACGGTAGATACTAGCTACTTACGTTGATAAAATCCTTCAATTCTTCTGTAGTTTTAGATTTTATCATCGACACAAAACGTCCGGCGTGGTTGAAGTGCCACACTCTGTCGAGAGCAGATACTCCACTGAAATATCCACTGATTGCATCATTACTTTTACAGTATGTGAAATTTGTATTTATAAAGATTTTTAAAAAAACTACAGTAATAAGCACAATTAAAAAAATTAATTTAATAAAGTAATCTATTTTAAATATTTCAATTCTAGAATCTAATATTCATTCAAATAAATTTTTCAATTATAATTACAAAAAAAGTTCAATTTCGAAATTGTAGATGTAATGTAAAAAGTATCTGAAAATAGTTTTTACTTGAAGAAACACCAAATACTTTAAACACCAAATGATACCAAATGGGAACAAGTGTTAAGTGAACAAATGAGCGATTAATTTGCAAGTAATTTCCTCTTATATTTGCCAATAAAATATAAAAATACATAAATGAAAAAAATAAAAAAAATTTTTTAAAAATTAGAAAACGGGGTGAATAACTGCAGAATATTTAAAATAGCTGAGATTAAGAGTAATTGAAAAAAAAATATGTGTAAAAATAAACGAAATTCGAAAATCATTCTGATATTTGGCGCCAGTAATTCGGATTTGATTACTGCGGTAGATTGTTTGAAATGGTAATTGAAAACATATAGGAATAATTGAAATTAATTGAGCGTGAAAAAAATCAATTTGTGTGGCAACGTAACGCATCATTATGCAGCTTGCAACATGCAAGTATATTGCAATTGCAATCTGTCAATTGAAATTATGAATGACACTTTTTAATTAAAGTGCAATTACTTTGTCAGTCGTCGATATTGCAGCGAGATATTTTTTTCTTACCAATTAATACAATTGCAATAATTTTTTAAAGATTATAATCATTCCAGCATTTGTTTTGTTAATTGAACAGTTTGCATTCAGGTGCAATGGCAATTAATTCCAATTTATATTAATTAAATCAATTGCAATGCATTGTTTGCAGAACTCATCGCATACCATTGCAATTGTATAATTTTAAAAATCTGAAAGACAAAGCGGATGCAATATTGATGCGTTAACATTGTGCACACGTTCCGCGTTTAAGAGAAAACATTTTTTAATTCGATAAAAATTATGAAATGAAAATGCTTAAATAGCATTTTACAAATGCTATTAAATAGCATTTTACAAATGCTATTAAATAGCATTTTACAAATGCTATTAAATAGCATTTTACAAATGCTATTAAATAGCATTTTACGAAATTGTAAATACACAAAAATAATAAGAATATATTTGATTCCTCTTAATATATATATTTTTATATATAAATACCTGATGATTGCAATTAAATGCACAGGTGGAAACTGTATTCCACTTCATGTGTCAGTAACCATCATTGGCTACTAGTAGATTTAAATCTTCGGGACCTTTTTTCTTGCCGATCTGACAGAGTTGTAACCTCGCAAAATTAGGAAGTTAGACGAGTTTATAGACTTGTCAAGTTGATTCACTTTGACTTGACTGGGGGAGTCGTGTCTTTTGGCGTTGCTCGTACGCTACCCTCTAGTGTACTATGTACTGCATTTAAAATTTGAAATAAATACAACTCTTTAATTTATGATTTTTACACTTCACTCACCTTTATACTAATCCACTATAATACCACTGTATACTTGTTCTACTAACTTCACTTTTTGTATAATAATGTCGCTTACACTAACATTTTTACTAAGTCTACTTTGTATTATTGTTTTCAAAATTTTTATTTTTTTCATATAAAAAACTATTTGGCATTTTCATACTCATCTGTCTTTTTCCAAATTTCTTCTCTGCGCTCGCTTACATTTACAGCAAATACAAACTCTTTATCTAAAACCATCAAATTACAAAATCCATCATTGGCTTTCAAATCAGACACACAATCATCATCGTATTCACCATCCTATCAACAAGATCAAGAACAGCAACAATCACTGTCATACTTATCCTCATCACAAGCACCAACTGCCATACCAATCACCAATGAATCGGCTGCACCTCTGCAAGGATTTATGCAAAAAATACGAAATTTTAATTTCAATGATGCAAAAAAATTTAAGGAACGTTTCCATTTCGAATATTACACAAAGGAAAAATTTATGGGTATGTTTAAAAGACACTACGGACTAAAATACTTTTTAAGGTGAAGTTTTGGTCTATGATTATTTTCTTCTAATTAACACATTTTTATAAAGATAATTTGATTATGCATTAAGCATAGAAATTTTCACTTTTTGTTTTATTTTTAGTTTTTAATTTTTCTGTGGGCGCTTTTATGTGGCTTTGATGCCTCCGCATTTTAGCTACCATCAGCTGCCAACGCATCTGTCCATTAAAGCTTCACATATTTTGTGTTTAGCTTATCTTTTTATTATGTAGCAGCAGCAGCAAGTTCTCACCTTTCTGCATAAAGTAAACATTAAATTATAATTAAAAGAAAATATATTATGGTTATTAGTTGTTGGAGTCAACCTTCAGATCTCATATCTATGCGTGCATAGATGCAACGGCGGCTACAAATTAATTGAAATTATTTTTCATATTGTAATTTTAACATTCACGAAAGCTTTAAATGCATAAACTTATATATTATTAAGATTTTCTACTAACCAATCATTAGTTTTAGATAATATTGATAATATAATTTTGTAATGTATGGTCAAAATTATTGATTTTATGTATACATCTGGTATTTGGATATCATACCAAATTGATTACTATTTCTTAATCTACATTCCTTTAAATTACTTTGAAACAATTGTTAGTCCTTATTTACATGCTTGTAACACTTGTCCATCTGAGAAACTAATTTTGTGAACTTTATCAATAACTTCCCATATAGACGCATTCAACGAAATAAATCACAGTCATTTTTTAAATTGTATGTGAATGCCAACACTACACCTGTGATGTGTACTTAACATTATCCAATTCGGTTTTAAAGTTATATGAAGACATTTAATTATTTAATTTTTTATACTTTAAATAATAATTTAAAGATTGCTCAGTTTCAAAGTCTATAGAAATAAGGCAATACAATGAATTTTACTCAAAATTTTACAGAAAATATATGAAAGGTAGTTCAAAAAAAAAGGTAGTTTTTGGAAAAAGTTGCGCTATATTATTCGTTGCATTCAGTAAGGAGCAATTGAAAAGACGTGTTATCTAAAGCTGGTTGATAAAACAAAAATAATGTCCACACTGTAAATCACTAGAGTTTTATTTTTTTCACGAAAGCTCTTTCAACGTTACTGCATTAGCTAATATGAAGACGATTACCGCTCGCATCCTTTAATTCAGAATTAACATTTATATGAAATTAGGATGTTGCCATTCTTGATTTCAAAGCCAACCCTATTTTGGGGATTCGTCTCTGTTATACTCAATGAATGGAAGATAGGTGGTTACAAATTAAATGACAGAATCAACAATGGCAGATTGCATCGTTTATTGGTATCTCGTTTCGACTAATACATCGTTGCACCGTTTTTCAAGAACAACTGATAGCTATTAACTGTGCAGCAAACTGGATTTTGAGTAACACAATGTTTAATATAGGTAATATGAAGTTTGCAATATTATTGTGCACCCTAGATTCAATCAAATTTCTGGTAAGCTACATCTAAATAGTTCAAGAGTGTCGCCATAAGTTTATCGTTGTCTTACTCATTTAACTCACCTTACTCACCTTTAACTTGAATGGGGAAAACTATTTCGGTCTTCTACTTTTTGTTTTTCAGTTCGTTCAGAGCTGGTGCACATAGAACGCCTATCCGGAGTATCACAGCAGTTAATTTTTTGCAATCAGATTAAATTTAGTGCACAAGACCACCACTGCAACCCAACTTGTTCGATTTTTTAACAACTTATTCATATGCTCTTATATTTTTAAATGAGAATATGTCAGCTTATTATTATTATTATTATTATAATATGTTATGTATACAATATATATATATATATATATATGTGATTACGAAACGACCAAAATTCTCCTCAAATTTACGAAGACGTGGAAACGATTCAATAAATCATGAAGACATATTTTTTTAAAAAATCTTTGATGATGGAAAACAAGTTGGCATATTTATTTTCTCTCATTAGAGAAAAAGTTGTTCTAACATTTTTACAATGTATCCTCAATTTCCAATTTTATTTACAATCACAAATTGTTTGTATTTCTAAGAAAAACACTTCTATATTTTGGACTGCCATCTTCAACCTAAATTGCCAAGCGGCCCACTAAACTAAATTCTATAACAAATTGTCATTGATCACTGAGTTAATCATAATGCATACATCAATAATTGATTCCAAATTATAAGTATTTTAATTTATATTTATAGTTCAATATTCTTGGAATCCTACTATGTAGTGCACTCTAATCAACACCACAGATGTTTTATTAAAATCAAAGACAATCGATTTCAACAGCAATATTGATATAAAACACACATAATAACTTCACAGTTCACCAAATTAAAAAGTACAAGAATTACCAATAAAATTATGTGAAGAATTCTTCTCAAGTAGTTTTTTCCCATATGATCACGAAAAAAAAAAATTGTTACGGATTTCAACAAAAATGCATTGAATATAGTTTTTAATGGTTTATGGTATTATACGCATATAAACAGTATTTTTGTCGATCGTAAATAGAAAATTTGTTACAACATGTGGACTATAGTTGCCATGGATGCAATTGGAGGCTTTATTTGACTGCTTAATAACATGGAATACTTCCGCATTTTCATAAATTTTAGTCTGACACCTTTGCCATTATAATTTAATTTAAACTCAAATTAGTGAATTTTTTTTCTCAAAATTTATAAACATTTAAATTTATATGGTTCTGTTCCGTTTATCAATAAATTACTTAATAACATAAACACAAAATAAAAAATTATTAAATTATTTTCACTTTAATATTTGACCGAAATGTTTATAATGTTGAAATCTATTGAATTCATGCGATATTACTTTATATTATAAAGAAATATTTTCATGATTCAATGTACAAGTTCATTAAAAATATAAGAAAATGTTTTATGAGTTATTTTTCAATGAATTATTAAACTTAAATTTGGTATATTGATGTAATTATAATGAAATGATTAAATTTATGTAAAATATTATTATTAATTACATTAATGTAATGTTTATAATATTATATTATTATATAAACATAATTATAAATGTAACCACCTATCAGGTCCGGCATTGATTTTCTCTGCACATGGGCGATAGTTTCTATATTACTTGAGTGTTATCATTAGGATTAGAATACTATATATATACCACGACGCAGGTGCCCTATTGTGCTAACTTCAGTTGGTTCAACCGATCATTAGTATGGTTTTGTTTTGTTCCATATGGTATATGAAGCAACTAGCCTGTACGACTTTAGTATCAGTATTCAGCACATTTTCTGAAGTAAAACCGACTAAATAGCTTAACGAAAATAACTTGTCCACATACACTTATCAAATATAAGTAAAATTAATTATTAGATGTTAATTGTTACAAATTTCATTTTATTAAAAGTAAGTAACGAATTATAATCATTTTTCACACTTAATCGCTTTGCATACAAATTATTTACCAATTAAATTGAAACTCATTTCAATAGAATACTAAAGCGAAAAAGTTCCCATTTGACCTATTTTTATTCCTTAATAGTTGCGTCGGCTTCACTTGTTGACAGTCTGGTATCGTATTAATTTCAACACCGCAGCTACTGTGTAAAATACTATAATTAACCCAATTTTCGCAGTTAAGATCTTGACAAACGAACTTACACATTTAGAGCACAGATACTTTTATTTATTGTTTGCCGTGTGATTACTGAATGATTGCTTTCAGGAGCGATTAATTCGTTTAAAAAATTGTGTCTTATAAAAGTCAAGGCACACAGAGCACTGCCCATAAATGTGCCCAGTCTAACTAAACTATATATATATTCAATCCAATTCTTCGTTATGTTTTATTATACAATATATAATTAAGTTCTACTGTGACAGAAATTTAAAACTAAAAATATTTGTATTTGCATGCCAGGCACGTACCAAGAATTTTGCTTCAGGGAAATATCAAAATATGTAGAATGTATCTCGTTCATTTATGTAAATATGTAATAAGTTTACCAAACATCTTTCCATATATAGTTTATATGTAATTGCAATGCGTTTTTATAGATTTTGCCATAAAATTAAAAAGTTTAACGATCTCTTCATGTGCTTTGTGTCTAAATTCTTGGATAAATAAACATTTTAGGCGTGTTCGAGTTGAAGTATTTATTTAGAAAAATCGAGTAAGGTTTTATGGAGCTTTTTTAAATTGGCTATTAAAAACTTATTTCATTGTTTACAAAATACATAAAAAGAAGTTATTATAGTTTTTAATGTTTCTTATAAGTAATTATATTAGAGTTTTATTATTGAGGAATAGGTTAGGTTAAGTTCGGTTATTCCAGAGATTCCAAGGCATCCACTAAGGCCTACAAGCCCAGTGTGTTACCATTTAATTGAAAACTCAAGGATTAGAATCACTTAAAGCCTTTGGGAAAGCTTATAATGCTATTCAAGGGGAAGTCTTGCAGTTCTTCAAACAAAGTATATGGGAGGCACTTTTGTCGTCCTCTCCATAACTGCGGCAGATATGAAAAGGTAGATTTAATCTTACAGTAAGGTTACCTAAAATGTAGTGATCTTACTATAAACTTACTATAAGATATCTCAACGGTGCATCTCAACGAGAGAGTTGGATTTCATTGTTGATGAATAGATGGATAAAATATAATTTTAAAAGTAAAAATTACTTTTAATATAGACAATAACATTTTTTAAATGATAAAGTATACTAAAATAATATAAATGCATAATATATTATTTACAAGAGATTCGAGCTTAATTTTTTAATCTGGTCATCCTTGCGGAAAACAGCATTTTTTCAAAACTGTATACATAAGTCACTAATTACCTTTGGAATATTTTTATAAATGAATTTTTGTATTTTTCAGGCATCGTTTGGGGGTATTACTATTCTGAAAACTTCACACTTTTTTTAAAAAAAAAATACTTAAACTTAATTTATATATAACATTTTATTCATATAAAATTTAATTACGAAATTTAATTTCGTACTTTGAACTTTCATACATTGCACCAATATTTCATATTGCACTATTAAATATACATAAATTTTTTGTTTTTTGTCCAAATAACGTCGGCTTAGTATATAAATAAATATATATTTTATGATAGATATGCACCCGTGCTTTCCTGCGGATGACTCTAATACTTTTATCAGCGAGATTATCAGTCCACACTGATTGACTAGTTTTGATCAAATCCCTAATCTCTAAGACTTTAGCTTGAAACCTGGAATTGATTAATGTTCCCTTAATAATATCGTAATTTTCTTGAATGGATATTTTTTCTACTCATTTTTTGCAAGAAATATTATATTTGGGTAAATTTTAAATCTCTGATATAAGGTTAAATAGTCTGAATAATTCATAGTCTTATTAATTCATAGTTTTATATTATTATAGAACTGTGTACTTATTGCAAGAAATATTTTAAATATATAAATTAGTGGATATAAGATTTTAGATCATGTTTAATACGTTTTTAGAATATTGTTTTTTAACTCTTATACTATAAGTTATATAATCATATTATGGGAATTTTATTAGTGAAGTACTCATAATTTTTGAGTGAATAACGCAGTATTGTTTATGTTTTGAAATCTAAAATATTTTTCGATGCATTTGTTAATTAAATTAATACAATTTAAAAAATAATTTTAAGTAAATGAATTGTAAAAAATCCTTTTTATTTTGATAAGTTAGTGTCAATAAGAACCTCCTCTATTTCTTATATGTTGTTGCTGTTGTTGTTGTTGTGGTTTGAGTTAGTGCTATTGCGCACTTTTACTCTTTTATAGTTGGGGGCTTATCCCTGTCCCACATTAAACTTTAACTATACTAGAATCATTGTCATTTATATGTGTTTTAACGGATGACGGACCGTAGATCAGCATATCTTCCTGTGAGTCTTAAGGTGATCTTAAGGTTTGTTAGGGCGGGGTTGGGCAACGTATCGACTTTTGTGAATAATTTTAGAGCTCTGTCATTGATATATTTTCTCACTGAATCGATCCTTACATCTCTATGCATATCTGTTGTCCTAATATATCATGGAAACTTAATTAGACTTCTTAAAACCAGATTTTGTGCTATCTGTAATTGCTTTATGGCAGTATTTGAGGCTTTGCTGTATGTTACACAACCGTACAGTAATGCTGGCCTAATTATTTGAGTATATAATAACTTTCTATTTTTGAGGTTGAATCGATTATTATTAAACAGTGGCTTAAGGATATGTAGAAGTTTAGAGCAACTATTCCGTTTGCATTTTATATGTTTATACCAATTAAGTCGTTTGCCAAAAGTGACCCGCAGTTATTTTATCCTTTCTTCCCACCGTATCTCCAAGCCACCGACGCACACTTGGAGGATGCTACCTTCTAATTCGTGTTACGAATATAGCCTTGATTTTATTATTGTTTATCTTAATCTTCAATTTCTGGAAGTATTTCACGATGAGGTCAATATTGCAGTGTAAGGTGTTGCTTACATTTATGGCATCCCGGTCAGAGTAGATCAAGAACATGTCGTCTGCGTAAAGCGCTATTGACGCGGGGGTTAAGATAGGGATGTCTGCCGTATATATATTAAACAATGTGAGTGACAATGGCGAACCTTGAGGTACACCTGCTTGGGGACCCCAAATTGGGCTATTTTGACTACAAGGTCATCATACCAGGCCTTGTCAAAGGCTTTTGCTATGTCGAATATTATCATTCCGGTTGATTCCCGTTTACTTAGAGCGGTTTGCATCAACTGTGCTGTTCTGTCTAGTTGTAGTTCCGTGCAAAGATCGTCCCTAAAACCCGAATTGTTCGTCCGGAAGGATATTTAGGGCAATCACCACTGTTTTTAGCCTAGCCTGAATTACTCGTTCTGCCAGCTTCCCCAGAGTTGGGAGCAGGCTAATGGAACTCCAGTTCTGCGTAAATAAGGGATTCTTGTCCGGTTTAGGAAACACTATAACCGATGCCATCTTCTACGCCTTTGGAAACTTACCAAGCCTAAACATGCAGTTGATGATGTTAACGATGCATTGGATTGCGTCTTTTGAGAGGTTATACAGGCATTTGTTGTTGATATTATCGTGTCGAGTGCGGATCTGGTCTTAAGACTCGATATGATACAGTTAATCTCATAGCTAGAGCACGGCCAATTTTTTTCCTGATCTTGTTGGAGAGGCGTTTGGCTTTTCTTCTGCTCATCGGGTCTCCAGTTATCTGGGTAAATTTTCGAATTGCATTTTGCCGCCTGATGATTTGTTTGATATACTGCGGCAGGTAGAATTAACTACTTGGTTTTCTGATTTTGGTGGTGGAGCTATTAATCTTGAGTTTGAGGTCCTTGATGAACTGGACTCGGATCACAAACTAGTTCTTTTCATTCTTGAAAACTGCCTAGTAAACAACATGAACCCCACGTACGTAACCACCGACTGGGGCGCATATAAGAACCAGGTTGATGTTACAAATATTTCTTATATGTTGTCTCTAAATATCTGACACATTAAATATTATTATAAATACTTTGGTATAAAATGTTTAATAACGAATATTTTGAATTAACTTTTTAATTATAATTTAATCACTATTTTAAAAGTTTTTTTTTTTAGATTATTATTCAATTTCTACGCATAGGTAAATTTTTATTATAATAAGAGTCAATGTAATATCCTTTGTACATATGGACATGTATATATACATATAAGTATATAAATTATGTATTACATCTTAGTTATTAAATAAGTGATTTTTGCAATGCGTTCCATAAATCTTGAATAATAATTGACAGCAAATTAAAAGTGCAAATTTATTTCCTATTTGCATATATATATTCTCCACAATTCCAGTGTCATATAAATAAGAAGTATAAATGAAAGTAATGAATATTGTCACTATATTCAATTTTTCTATATAAGTTTCAATCAAAATTAATTGAGTATGACCGTATGTAGAAAACACTTTATTGAAATTACTTATCAATTTTTATTAAACTTCATATAAATTTTTTTTTACACTTGATTTGACATTCCATTTCTTTGTAGGTGGTCAACTGAAGACAAAAAATGGACAAAAATATGTGTTCAATGGTCCGCCGTCCGGAGTTTTCGTGTCAAAGACGTGTGCTACATTCTCAGTTTTAATTGTAATACTCATAATAATTTCATCAATTTTAATAACATATTTTACTACAAGAAATACAATTAAGTAAGTATGCTTATTATTCAATATTGATATATATATGTTAAATATAAATCAAAAAATATAATATCATTGTTATATATAGTATAAAATCAATATATGAGAAAATGGATTTTGCTATTTAATTCGGATATAAATAACTTTATAAAACCTAAATATGGTATTAAATATTATATTTAAGCAAAAGACAAATGCTACCAGTTTTAGGTATTCGGTTTCCTTTCTGCAAATAAAACAAAAATATATATGAATATTCAAAAATTTATGAAAAAAGCAATCATAATATTAAAAATTATTTTATTTGACACTTCCAAAACCTTGAAAATTCTTAATATCTAGATATAATTTATTTCCTGCTTAATTTGAAAAAAGCACTCTGGAAAACAATTACTCATACGCCATGAAATCATTTATGTCTGTGCAAAGTCAATTCAATTAATTTCCATAACCATTCGTTTTGTTATATAAGAAATCAATTTACTAAAGTAAAGAAAAAAAAACTATAGTAATTAAAAGGTGCGACAAATCATTATAACATTTTTGCCAACTAGTGATTTTTAAAGTTTCTACTCATTATCACACAATCCATTCTGAGAATATTAAATTGTGCACGATTTGACCTATTTTATTAATAACTGCTCTTCTTATGCAATGACCACTGATAGATATAGTGGAAAGCATGTCAAACCTAAGTAAATAAATTCTGATTTACCAAAGAGAATCAAAAGAAATTCGCGTTAATAGGTGTGTACTTCCCCCATTTCAATTTTGATTTGTGTGGCACGGGTTCAAGTAAAAGTAAAGCGAAGAAAGCAATACTAATTGACACATTAAACGTTTTTGAAATGGTTAAAGTTAAAAATATTAAATAAATTAAGTTGTTCAAGGAGTGCCACTCATACTTTCATAAAGTTTTTTTAATTCCTTTAATTTTTTTCTTTACAGTTGCATAAATGTACACACTAACCCTAATGATTTACAGGACACAAATGTTGTCCGTTTGAATGCAACTCCAGTGGCCACCGCCAGCATGTTGAGCGTGCCTATGCCACCGAAATCGAAATACAACCCTGAGACACTGCCCGCACCAGTTGGCGATATACCAATTGAACATGATCTCTTTAGCGAGGACAAGACTAAATTAGTGGATCGTAAATTGCATTTATATGACGGTTGGTCGCCGTTGCAATACAAGTAAGTAAAACAAGTAATTTTTACGCAAATCATAAATCACAATCTCTAGAAATTGCTTGATTTAAATTTAAGTAAATTTAATTGGATTGTTGCAAACAAAATAATTCAATTAATTCAATTTGCACTAGCAATGGCTTTACATGGCACGCTTCAATAAATTGAAAATTGTTTGCTTTGGTTGGCTGGCTACTCTTCCTTTGTGGAAATTCTATTCAATTTAATGCTAACAACGAGTAAAATGAAATGCTTTGATTGTACAAATGCAGATACGAATATGTTCTACAATTTCAATGAGATTATGATTACTATTATATGTTCATTTCATAAACAAAATATTTTATGTATCGTATGTAGGAAGAGTGGGTCAAGGTATGTGACCGATATGTGTACATATAAATTATAAAGGATTTAATAAATTAGCACAAACATTAGACATAAGTAAAAATTAATAAAATAAATTCATGTTTTTGTGACTGAGCTTCTATATTAAACAACAAATAAACAAGATATATGACATCATATCAATAATAAAAAAGACGATAATTGATTTTAAACAAAATGTTGATACATTTTAAGTGGGCTATAGGTAAAAATTATAGTCCATTATAAAAATGAAAAATTATATCAAATTGTATTAAATTATCGTCGAATAAAATTTAGAGGTTGGTTGGGTTTGCTAACCAAATATGAAAACATATGTAAGACTACTATTCGAAAACTACTAAATATAAATAAAAAAGGAATCCACCGTTTGCCCAAAAACAAAACAATCAGAACTGTGGATTTAAAAAAATGAAAAGGGTTCCGAAGAATTTGAAAAGTCGAACAAAAATCTGGCAATAGGTAAAGTTATGATATTGTTTTTTGGTTATTAAAAAAATGTAACTTTTTTGCATCTCATCAATTAGAATGAGAAAATATTTTGGAATACATAATAAACATTTTTTTGGAAAATATGTTATATGAAGAATTCTCACCTTAATTTTTATATAAGATTTTTTTAATTTATTATTTTATTTATTTATTTATTTTTTTTTTTTTACTTATTTTATTTATTTGTTTATTTATTTTTTTTACTTTATTTATTTATATTTTTTATTTATTTATTTGTTTTATTTATTTATTTTACTTTATTTATTTATTTATTTGATTTATTTATTTTGTGCTTTGTTTATTTATTTAATTTATTTATTTATTTTATTAATTTAATTTAATTATTTCATTTATTTAGTCATTTTATTTATTTAATTTAATTATTTCATTTATTTAGTTATTTTATATATTTTATTTATTCCATTTATTTATATTCTGTTTTATTTATTTATATATATTATTTATATATAATTGAGTTTTTAAAGATATGCTGAAAATGAAAATATTCATTAACAATTTTGTTTATTTAGCATTTAATTTTTTGTTTCATTATTCCAATAATTTTAAGAGTCAAGTGATACATCAAGTATCAAGTAACAATTTTTTATTAAGTAAAATAATTTTTTTAACAAAATATTATTGTAGTATATCTAACAATATGATGTCTCTGTTCTCATTTATGGTATGTTAATCAGTGTTTTATAATTTTAATGAACTGAACACTGATATAATGAAATACTCACTACCCAGGAAACACCCAACGATGCCAAAACACAAATGGAATTATCATTTCAGCAAGACAGAAAAATGTTAGACAAACACAATTCATTCACACCAATTCATTATTAGAAAAAAATAAAAAAATTTTTGTAAATAAAAAAATTTAAGTAAAAAGTAATAAAAACGAAATGACAAAGCGCCAACATGCCACATGATCCATCATACATAATTCCCTCAATTGGCAATGAATGACTGAAACTGGCTCACGTCATCAATTCACTACGTCGAACGATGTGCGTGCAACTTGGAATACCACTTATGCGTCTTTGGATCTTGTTCTACATTTCACGGTTCAATAGTTGCAGTGAGTGAATAAGTGATCGAGCGAAGATCAAATAAATAGAAACTTAAAGTTAACAATATATGCAGCACATGCAGCAATTACTGATTTACTGGCAAGGCGCTAGGCATTAAATGAATAACGGTGATAGTCGCTGTAACTATTGCTTTATGAATAATTTATAATTTTCTTACAGCAAATACTGCAATGATAAAATGCAGCTGTAGCAGAAATGTTGTGGATACACTACATCAATTATATTTAGTATTGTGTGGCCAGTTGCGTTTGGAATTAGCGGTGTGATTATCTTCAAGCATAGTTGCAAGCGCGTGTATATTGGATTCAATAAAATTAGTGGCACGCCATGGTAGTTCTAAGAGTGCCGATGGACAAGAAATTTTTTTCAAATTGTTTTCTGACAACTACAGCAATTTCTAGATATATATACAACATCATTTGTTTTTGTGTTATTCTTTTTTATCAGAAATATTCAAAACAAAAATCTATGTCGTAGCATTCTTTTGTAACCAGGAAACGTTGTACGCTAACTGCAGTATTCTATATATGCTACAGTTAGTGTGATACTACACAATTGCTATATGAAGACTCCTAGCGTATGCGTTGTTCTTGTATACAATCAAATTTAAAACCACTAAGTTGTATATAAAATAACGATCGCTACAAGATCACAGTAGTTATACCCGCAATAAAACCATCATTAAAGCGACTTGTCTCATTAAGTGGCTACTTGCACGCAATTATTGGCGCAGTATCTGTTATACCGCTCAACGATTCTTGCTTAACATAAATCAGCATCTCAACAACTTTTAATCGTTGCAGTAATCAGCACTGTAAATAACATGAGCTTACTGAAGGCGCTTGTGGTGTTTACGGTAGAAACACTTGCATGATTTGCTTCAGCAAAGTTTAGTACTGCGGTTCTTTTTTGATCCATGGGGTCTCAATTGGCGTGCTCAGTTTAAATTAATTCGCTTCACTTGGTGCGTCTTTCAAAGTCTGTCAATTGCATTAAATTGGTTAGATTTGATTGTGTGTTGACAATATGCAACATTTATTGCTACTATTCGTCATGTTGTTTCACATTTTGTGTGATTTAAGTGTGTTGTTTTGTTAAATATGTAATAAATTTATCTAAAACTTTTTTTAAGCCTTTCTTTTAAACTGTATTTTCAACCTTTTTTCACAAATTTAATTTAATGCAATAGTTAACTTACAGATCTACTTAGATGATGAAGAAGTACGTGTAACTATCTTCCAAGTAAAATATCCCATTTCCATAGCCGATTCTTGTAAGCTCTGCAAAATACGCTTGCACGCCAGCTGGTACTGCTTCGTTTGATGAAAATTGTTTTCGGCAAAAAAATTTCCTTTAACTGTGCCTGGTCCGATTAGACTAACAAATCTCGTCAGTTAAATTCCGCATTCTTAATATGCTACAATTTGTGTGATACTACTTTATTGCTTTTTGATAACTCTTAGCAATTTATTGTGCTTATGTGTAAAAAAATAGTATCAGCTGGTGGTTAGATGATACGTATTTAAACTACTTACTACCAAAATATGAACGACCAGAATTCAATGAGTTCCAACAGAATATCGAACAGTCTCAGGCCTAATGATTTGGAGAAAAAGCGGATTTAATCTAATAAAACCCTTGTATTTTTTTTTATAGGATAATTGCCCTAATGTGGGCAGTTTATATTTTAATTTACTGGTGTTGCATTGCAGTGATGAAAAATAATTGCTTTCCTATGTAATCTGTGTCTTTTATTATGAATTTCATAATTCAATTGACCACATAAAACTGACTTTGCCTCTATCTTGGTTGTTTTCTGGATACGAACTGATTTAGGACTCAATTAGTGGATTCGCACCACTCTTCATCTTTTTTTATTTGTGATTCAACATCAAAATCGACACTTGAACGTGTCTTTTTTGCATTGTTAGCAATTGCAGACAACTTTTTGAAATCACGTGTTAGAAACGACTAGACTTCTTCTTAAACCTATCTGGTTCTATCAACAACAATCATAAAGATGCAACTTTAGGACAATCTTCACATGGTTTTGGAGCAATGTTGTCCGGACTAACGGACTTACCCGCTTTAAGCTGATTTATTACTTCAAATGGCTTATAAAAAAAAAATAAATTTGCAAATGGACTTAAAACTTTATTTATGGCTTTATTTTCATAAACGAGAAAATAATAAAATAAAATAAAAAAGTGTTGCTTTTACTTTTTGTCGATTTAATAGCGGTCCGCAAACAATCTAGTCCCTTGGGGTTTATAAGTTATATATATAGCTGTTTAATATACCGCCAAACATTTGTCATCACATGTTTGTCTTTGGACACATGCATTGATTTACAATCGGTGCCAAAGTACCAATTTTTTTTGAATGAGGGCTAGTTGTGATGCATTCTATAATGTTTAAACAGCATTCTAGGCTTGCAAAGACATTCTGCCCAGATGATTACGAGGTATTTCTCAAAGAAATATATCAATTTGTTGTAAATTGTTTTTTTATAGATTCTTTAAAATAAAAAACAATCGAAACAATTAATTAATTTTCTTGCACCCAAACAATGCGATCTGACCAACACCATTTTATTATATACAAACAAAAAGGAAAACTGCATTAATGCTAAAGCAATAACATAACAAGAATAACAACACCACAAGAATGACGATTGAGTGGAACCCGATGAGTAGCAGAGGAAGGGGCAGACCTGCACACAATTGAAGAAGGCAAATTGATATGGATATGTCACACATGCGGAAAAGCTGGGGAGAATTAAAGCTATTAGCCAACAATCGTACCGAGTGGAAGATCTTTGTTGCAGCCCTATGCTCCTCCTAGGATTAAGTATATATATATATATATATACTAGCTGACCCGGCGAACGTTGTTTCCCTTTGCAATTAATTTTCCTCGCTCAGCTGAGTTATAATATTTGTTGTTATTCAACTTAACCTTTAGCATTTTAATACGAAAATTATTTTGAATTGATTTTTTCTTTTGAACTACAAAAAGTCCACATGCATTACTTATGTTGTGTTATTTGAAAAAATATTACTTATGTTATTTGAAAATATATTTTCAAATCCTTATAAGCACTACATTTTAAATGAAAAAAGAATATCAATGGATATTGCAAAGCGTCGTAAGAGCGATAACTGTCATCAATCGTATGCACTGTGTTATCTCTGCGTTGTATTCATATATCTTGACGTTCAAATGCGTCGCCAACCATAACAACTGCAACTTCATTAATAGTCGGTGCATTATATCGGCCCGCATGCTGCCCAGATGGTACTTTGTCTGCTTTTATGACGATTGTATAGTTGTCGTTTAGCAGTCGATTTGAAACGGTATTGAACAACTGGACCAACTGGTTGTGATTTTTTAAAAACGGTTCTAAAATACCCACAATTTCTTGCTCCTCCATCTGCTCGATATGGTTGTACTGGCAACGTGCGTTTCTTTGCTGCTTCTCATCACCCATGAAGTAGATTTGCAGAAATTTGGGATCATTATTGGGCATCGGCATTAAAGAACCAATTTGGTGATACACTTGGCCCTGAATCTTAAGCGTTGATTGAAAATTGCGACCAATCTCATTCTGAACGATTTTTGTTGTTCCAAATGATGTCATTTAAAAGCACGAATTGAATTTGCGAATTTTACGAAAAAACAATTTAGATTGAGATGTAGCTCCAGCCAATAGTGCTTTCAATAGTTTTGGCGACAAATTCAATGGTGGCAATACAACTTTTCCAGATGTGCAGCAGAAACCGGCCGATTCACCTTTGTATTTGAGTGTATGACAGTGTTGGCACTGTTTGTTCATAGCACCGATTACAATTCGTGAATGTGACGAATAGTCGATAACCGACTCATATTCAAACGCAAGGTGATGAAATGATGAACGTGTCAATGCCCGATACACTTGCAAACGCTGTTGTTCACGTGTTCTGAATATGTCGGTGACTCGTGGACGGGCCAGTCTTTGTCTCAATGCATTAGCTCGAAGGCGTTATTTGCGTTGCTCTTGACTTTCATTAAGACGTGTGATTGTATCCTGGTTTTTTACATTCTCATTGTTTTCTGCCGATCTATTTAACCGACGGTTCTGGAGTAATTGTGAATTCAGAGTCGCTCGACCAATATTTTCTCCTTGTCCACGAAGACGTGGCATTGTTTTTTGTACGTTATTTATATCTTTATATATATAATTTTTCTTTTTTGTGTGTGTTCAAGTGAATTCAAGGATGGTCTAGATTCACAATTTGGTCCATTTATATTAGACATTTAAAAGTTATTCATTCTTACTTTGATTTGTTTAAAAAGTTTAAACTCTAAAATGAATCGTTCAACTATCCTGTGGAATTTTTGAATTCGCTGGATTTACCAGGAATACCACCACATAACTTAAGATTAAAAATTGGCTCACCTATAATTATACTGTGGAATTTAAATGCATTTAAGGTATGCAACGGCAGTTTTACGATTCATTATAGAGATTTTAAACTTTTTAAACAAATCAAAGTAAGCATGAATAAATTTTAAATTTCTAATATAAATGTACATGGAAACCAAAAAATAAAAAATTATATAAAAAGACATTATCCAGTGGGCCAAATTGTGAATCTAAACCTTCCTTCAATCCACTTGAACACACACAAAAAATTTCATCAAAATCGGTTCAGCCGTTTAGGAGGAGTTCACTGTCAACACACGTACAGAAGAAATATATATATAAGATATATATATATATATATATCTTATATATATAATTCTTCTGTACGTGTGTTGACAGAGAACTCCTCCTAAACGGCTGAACCGATTTTGATGAAATTTTTTTGTGTGTGTTCAAGTGGATTCAAGGAAGGTTTAGATTCATAATTTGGCCCACTGGATAATGTCTTTTTAATCAATTTTTTATTTTTTGGTATCCATATACATTTATATTAAAAATTTAAAATTTATTCATGCTTACTTTAATTTGTTTAAAAACTTTAAAATCTCTAAAATGAATTGTAAAACTGACGTTGCATAGCTTAAGTGCATTTAAATTCCGCAGCATAATTATAGGTGAGCCAATTTTTAATCTTAAGTTATGTGGTGGTATTCCTGGTAAATCCAGCGAATTCAAAAATTCAACACACAAAAAAGAAGAATTATATATATAAAGATATAAATATCGTACAAAAAACAATGCCACGTCTTCGTGGACGAGGAGGAAATATTGGTCGACGGACTCGGAATTCATAATTACTCCAGAACCGTCGGTTAAATATATCGGCGAAAATAATGAAGATGTAAGAAACCAGGATACAATTACACGTGCTAATGAAAGTCAAGAGCAACGCAACGAACGCCAGGAAAATTAATTGCAAGGGGAAACAACGTTCGCCGGGTTAGCTAGTATATATATATATATATAAAATATATATTATAGCACGTGTAATTGTATCCTGGTTTCTTACATCTTCATTGTTTTCTGCCGATCTATTTAACCGACGGTTCTGGAGTAATTGTGAATTCCGAGTCCGTCGACCAATATTTCCTCCTCGTCCACGAAGACGTGGCATTGTTTTTTGTACGATATTTATATCTTTATATATATAATTCTTCTTTTTTGTGTGTTGAATTTTTGAATTCGCTGGATTTACCAGGAATACCACCACATAACTTAAGATTAAAAATTGGCTCACCTATAATTATGCTGCGGAATTTAAATGCACTTAAGCTATGCAACGTCAGTTTTACAATTCATTTTAGAGATTTTAAAGTTTTTAAACAAATCAAAGTAAGCATGAATAAATTTTAAATTTTTAATATAAATGTATATGGATACCAAAAAATAAAAAATTGATTAAAAAGACATTATCCAGTGGGCCAAATTGTGAATCTAAACCTTCCTTGAATCCACTTGAACACACACAAAAAATTTCATCAAAATCGGTTCAGCCGTTTAGGAGGAGTTCACTGTCAACACACGTACAGAAGAATTATATATATAAGATATATATATATATATATATATATATATAATATATATATAATATAATATATATATATATATATATATATATATATATATATATATGTGTGTGTGTGTTTTTTTTTTGTTATGCTTTTATAACATAACAGAAAGGAAGCTCATAAGTACCATGAAGTAGCCATGATTATAATTCCTTAAGAGCCGCGATTTACAACTTTAAAGCCTTTTGAACAACAACCTATAACAGTAAAGTTATACATATGCTCTTATTCAGTAAAGTTAGTCGTCAAACCGCGACATTACTGTACATTAAGTTGGTTAAAACTTTTGAAAAGAAATGCAATGATTTTTAGTATAAATTACTTTTCTTGTATATTGCATTTCAGTAAATAATAATTATCACAGATGAAACTTTAATTATTACACACGAATAAAGTGTTATTATTATAAAAGTCAAAAGTAAATAGAATTAGTCATACCGAAGGTATTGTTAAAATCTGGTAGTTTTTCCTGTAAATAATGTTTTTTTTTTGTTTTTTAAGCAATAGTTTTAATAAATATTTTGAAAACATATTATTTGTGTGTAAATAATTTTATCTGACCAATTGATAACTACACACCTTTGTTTGACGTTAAATAGACGCCAATTATACATAATTAGTTTATTGTTTATGAAGGGAAGCCACATTTGTTGTAAAGACATGAGGCATGAAATTGACATTAGTTAACAGTTATGATGATAAGAAATATAAATATAGAGATGTGAAATAACTGTGAAAATTATTCGAGTAATAAATCTGCATTTTGCAATGGGCGTGGCATTGAAGAAATTTACTTTGTAATTATTCGTAGTGATCGGACGTATGCAGTACGAAACACTGATCTAATTTTGAGCAGACGTGTGTTGAGTATTAGCGATTCCATTTACCATAACGGGGATGAGAATATTCTTATCAAAAAAAAAATTTCCTCTAAATATTATCAAATCTCAATCACAATCAAGAGAAAATATTTATACTAATGACTTATAATCCTAGTTTTTCCAAAAATGACCCAAAATCAAAATGTTTTCACAAAACAACTCACAAATTAGCATTAAAAACCAAAAATACTGTACTTCAGAAAATTTGTTTAACAATAAAAAAGCAACAATAGGGAAGATGGTTTAATATGATATGGTATATAACATCCCTTATGGTGGTGATGGTGTCAACTTATGCTAACAGGTATATGTTGTCACAACTAAAAATTAACTTCGAACGAGAATCACTGGACACAATAATAAATTAAGGAGTCCTACCACATCTATTGACCAAAAACTGCTATAGCAATACATTGTATTAAAATCAACTTTGATGACGTATAAATTTTTAATAGGCAAAATAATTGCAAATGTAGAATGTTGCTAGAAATGTTGCATATAATTGCTAACATATACACCAGATGGAAAACAACTAAATTACAAGAGTGACACATGGCTTAGAAATTCACAGGTCACTGGTGCAATTATTATTAATTATTAAAATAATAAAAAATTTTAAAAATTAGACGGAACCATAATGGTTGTTATATCATACTTTGGTTATATAATATAATATGAAACAAAAGCGAGCTAAAGCTTTGCTAGCCAAAAAATTAATAATTATAGACAATTAAGGTCGATATCAATATTTACAGTTATTTCTTTTTTAATTTTATTGTTATTTCGATTAATTTTTATAATTTACATTTCCTTGTAGAATTACAATTGAACCGAATCTTGCTACATCTTCCAATAATGGCAGCATTGCCATTGAAATACAGCGCGATTCTAAGACTTCAACATTTTTACCAATTGTGCTTGATGTGCATAATGTTTCCATATCGAATGTACGCGTCATACGTGCAACGAACACCTCCAATGGCGAAGAAATCGAGTTGGATTTTGATAGCGAATATAGCCAAGATAATTCTACGTTTGTAGTGACATTGTCCAAATCTGTAGAGAATGATAAGGAATTACAAGTGATTTTAAGTATGGATTTTGTAAGCCAACTTACAGACACATTACAGGGCGTTTACAAGACAAGTTACACAAATGTGGATACAAATAATCAAGAGTGAGTACTGTTTTCCTATAAAATATTCTATATATTCATATGTATATTAATATGTATATGTATAACATGAATATGCATTTTAATATGTTTTGATCATTAATATGTATTAAAAAATTAATGTATACATATGATTCGAATAGGTTCAACATAAATTTGCAAAAATAGAAGGACACTTTCATGTTATGAATTCGGTTATTATAATATTGTATTTATGATGTAAATTTGTATATACAATATATATATATGATATATAAACAATATAAATATTTTTAATATTTTATAAATGTATGTTATATTTTAGATGGATGGTTAGCACACAATTTTCACCAATTGATGCAAGACGCGCATTTCCTTGTTTTGATCGTCCCGATAAAAAGGCCAATTTCACAATTACTATCATTCGGGAGAGTAAAAAGTTAATGGCTCTATCTAATATGCCAGTTATAAGAAGCTCGTGAGTATTACAGATTTTCATCAATAATTATACACATATACTCACAGTGTAATATAATTGGTTTTATTATGAACAATTTAAGAGTATTTAATAGTATATATTTTATCCACTTCATATCGAATAATAAAGCTTTCTAATGTGTGGTATATATTAAATGTTATAAAATGATTTTAGACCCCATCGTCCTGGTTACACCAAAGATGAATTTATGACTTCACCCAAAATGCCTACATATCTGGTCGCATTTATTGTCTCCGATTTAGTTAAGTCACACTACTCCGATCTGGATGCTAGTTTGGTGCCACGTGTTGAGATTTGGACACGGCCAGAAAATACTGAAATGACAAATTATGCTTATTCAATGGTACGAAAATTCTTACCATTCTATGAAGATTACTTTGGCATTAAAATTCGTTTGCCAAAACTCGACTTGGTGTCTGTACCTGATTTCGGTTTCGGTGCAATGGAAAATTGGGGTCTTTTAACTTTTCGGTAAGTATATTTTTATTTAAGCACAAATAATGTCAACGTTGGCATGTATACCTTCTGCTAAAAAAGTATCCTGATTTTGTTGTTTGTTAACTACTCCTTAAGTAATAGACCTTTATCAAACATTTTTTGTTATGTTGGTACACCCTTTCTTGACATATGGTACAAATTTGAGCGCCATCTGTCAATTAGTTTGTTTACAGCAGCTGTTAATGTTAGACTACCTCAAGTGCATTTAGCGATTTTTACTATGGAAAATTTTTATTGTACGATTTTTGTCCAAACACGGCACCACTGTAATCGCTCAGGCACCATATTCGCCAGATCTGGATCCGTGCGACTTTTTCGTGTTCCCGAAACTCAAATTGGTCCCTCGTGTTAAGCGTTTTGAGTCGATTGAATCGGTAAAAGAGAATTCGCCGAAGGAACTAAATGCCATACCTGCACGGGCCTACGAAAAGTATATAGAAGATTGGGTTAAACGTTGGCATATGTGTATCGGACCATATTTTGAAGGAGATAAAATAAATTTGGAATAAAATTTAAATTTGTGTGTTTTATTTACAAAATCCGGGTACTTTTTGAGCTGGAGGTAATACATTGAGCATGAAATCATGAGAGTGTTTGTTGCAAGTAATAAACCAAATAAAAGTCTTCAGTAAAATTTAAGTGAATTAGTTAAAAATGCGGGTAAAGAAAAAACATACAGCATATCTCGATCCTTTTTTTAAATACATAATCATTAATTCTTGTTTTTTTTATTTTTTTAATAAACAAAATTATTTTTATCTTAGTGGACTCATGCGCCACTCAATCAAAAACCAAATTGACGTGTGACATTTTTGGGTTGTTGCTGTCTTCTATTCAGGAGTGACAGTTGACTGCAACCCTCAAAAAAGTCTTTAGGTTTTCTCTAAGCAGAAAAAAATTTGTTTAATAACTTTTTGTCGAGCTCATTAAATATGTGTTTTTAAATTAAAATAGTTGATTCAGTTTACTTTATCCACTCTCGACGATGCTGAAGAACTCAAAATTAATGTAGTTATACAGTAATTGTCTCTAAAAGTATTTGACCTTTAAGACATAAAGTAACTTATTTACCATATTTTGACATTAACACACAAATTTTTTTTAATTTAGGGATTCTGCTTTACTTGTACCAGATGATATGGCCTCCTCTTCCGAGCACATGGAACATGTTGCTCAAATTGTTGCACACGAGTTGGCACATCAATGGTTTGGTAATTTAGTCACACCGAAATGGTGGGATGATCTCTGGTTGAAAGAAGGTTTCGCTTGTTACATGAGCTATATTGCATTGAACAACGCACATCCCGAGTATAAAATTATGGATATATTTACTGTTTTCGAATTTAAAGAAGCTATGCAACATGATGCCGATAACAGTTCACATGCCATATCTTTTGATGTTGAATCCACGACGGATATACGTCGTATTTTTGATCCGATTACATACTCAAAGGGAACTATTTTATTACGTATGTTGAATTCAATAGTAGGCGATGAAGCATTTCGTGATGCTACGCAAGATTTATTAAAAACAGCAGCTTATAATAATGCAGACCGTGAAGAGCTTTGGGCGCATATGTCACACCATGCTCATGCCAAGAAAACATTACCAGAAAACATGCATATTAAGGATGTGATGAATTCATGGATATCAAAACCAGGTTATCCCGTTGTGACAGTAGAAAGACGTGATGCTGATTTAGTTGTTAAACAAGAACGTTACATACTTCCATCAAGAAACGTATCCGATAACAGTCGTTGGGTTATACCAATTTCGTTTGAAACTGATGAATTGCACAAAGGAGATAATATTCCAACACATTGGATGCAAGAAAATGACACTGAAATTATTATTAATAATGTCTTCTCCAGTGATAATAACACAGATAATGTAGTCTATCTGAACTTATATCGCACTGGCTATTTTCGCGTTAACTATGATTTGGCTTCTTGGTTGGCTCTTCGTAAGAAGTTTAGCACGTTGCCGCGTGTAACACGTGCTCAACTATTAGATGATGCAATGCATTTGGCACAGGCGGAGTATTTAACATACGACATACCATTGACATTCCTTATAGAAATTTTCTCAGCCACCGATGATGAATTATTATGGAATGCAGCGCAAAATGGTTTAAATTATTTGATTGATATGCTTCAGCGTGAACCGGCATATGAAACCTTTAGAGTAAGTAGAATAGTTTATGATATATAATATTTATTCATTACTTGAAATTATAAAAATTATTGTATAGTAATTATTATGTTTAAGAAATATTTAGAATAATTTAATTAATATTTAAAGGCTTTCATGAAGTTCAACGTGCGTCCAGCTTTTGAACGTTACGGTTTGAATGAACCTGATAATGAGTCGCATTTGCAGCTTCAGCACCGTGCGGTAGTCGCTCGTTTGGCTTGCAAGTTTAACTATGATCGTTGCACAATGGCAGCTCATCTCAAGTACCGTGAATGGATGGCTGATGCCAAACTAAATCCGTAAGTAAAAGAGTATTACCCGTAGTAATTATATATTAAAAAAAATTCACTTCATATCTCCGCAGCAGCAAGCATATACATATTAAAAATAATACAATAATAAGACCATATCAAAATCCAATTAATTGCTGGGATTTATGTTTTTATGTTTCTAGTTCTACTAATTCTGTACCATAACTGTTGACTATGTTCCTAGACATATCATAAAAGTTATTAAATATAGAGAAGTTTTAGGTACCATCCTCCAGAACTTTTAATATTTTTTTTCTAAGCAAGTATACATAATATAAATTCTTTCTGAATGTTTCGTTCCCAGCAAAAAACCCATATCAGTCTTTTACATATTTATGGTCAAATTTTATAAAATATGTTACAATTTTCTGTAGATTAATATTAATATGTTTACATATTTATCTGCTATATTACAGCAGTTTTTTTTTAAATTAATCATATATTTTAATATTTTTTTACATTCTTTCATATTTACAAATTTTTTAAAATTAATTCAATTATCTTTCTTTTACTTGAAATCCATTAGATTTACTGCTTTTGTTCAATTTATTCCATAGATATATCATTTACCATATTCTAACATTATATTTCAGTATCAAACCCAATTTGAAACCAACAATTTATTGCACTGCATTAGCTGAGGGATCATTTCAGGAATGGTATTTCGCTTACAAGCAATATAAACGTAGCACAAGCGCATCGGAGAAAGAGCAAATACTAACATCACTCGGTTGTACGACAAAACCGTGGTTACTCTCAAAGTAAGTGAAATTTTAATAATAAGTATATATTATTTAATCATTTTATTTATATATAAATATTTGTAGGTATTTAAATATGACAATCAACCCTACTTCTGGTATTTTAAAACAAGATGGTGCGCGTGCCTTTCGTTCTGTTGCCAAAAATCCTATTGGCTATGAAATTGCATTTGATTTCTTACAGACAAACATTAAAGAAATTGCAGATTAGTGAGTTATCATCATATAATTTAATTATTACAATATTTTATTAAATTCCTAAATATAATACACAGCTTTGGTGACGGCTTCTCAACGCTATCCGAGATGATAAAATCCATTACAACATATATGAATAAAGAATACCACAAAGAACAGTTGGAACAATTTGCTAAACGAGCACGTAAATTGGGTCTTACGGCAGTGGAATCCGCTATAGAGGTGGCTATGCAACATGTGAACAACAACATTTACTGGCGCAATCGTTCCTATTACAGCCTCAAAGGATATCTCGAGGCAATTGTTAGTGAATTCCACATTAACATTTTCTAAGCGTTAACTGTGGTAGCATACTGCTCTATAGAATAAGCTCATTTTAATTATAATACACATATTTTTCTAAATTAATTTTGAAATTAGCTGTAAAACAAATGCAATGCTTATTTATTTTTATTTTAAGAACATGTTTGCAACTATATTTTTAAGAAATTGAAAAGTTAAGCCAAATTTTTGCTTTAATATTTTATTTAATTTTTTTGTTTTTTGCAAATAAATAAAATGTATGTCTGTTCTAATTATTTAATTAAAATCAAAATTGCAAACAAAGTGATATATTTCTATAAGTGCAGCAAAATACTAAATTTTTTTTAATCATATAAGTTTGCCGAGTAAGATTTGATGCTTTCGCACTTTATATTATAAAAACTAAAATATATTTATATTTAAAGTAACATATTATTTTAAATTATACCTAAAATTATTTGCATATATATTGGAAATTAATTTCTCATTATTTTCATTTGTTATATATATAATTATAGTTTAAGAAATTTTAAAATTTAGTTTCTATAAAATATTTATATATACATACTATATATGTAGTAATGTTCCTATGTTAAAATATGAAATGAATGCATATGAAAATAGTCATTTAATTTATATACTAAAATAAAATATAGCTTTCATAATTATTTTTGTAAGTTTGTTTTTTTATTTTCTTTTAACCTTTTCTTTATTTATATATTTATTAAGTTTTAATTAATGTTCAGTTAGCTGTATGATGGCAAGGGAAAGGATTGAAAACAACTTTAATTATTTGAGATACTTATATATAAAAAAAATATTTGGTTTAATACTATATTCAAACTTATTCAAAATCAATTATATCTTGTTGCAATTTTAATAGACTACCTTTATCATTATATCAAAACATTAAAAAATGTTTTATGTTACACATATAATCATAATTAATTATATACGTAGTATTTTTTCTTTCTTGTACAATATATTATGTTATAATATATTACTTAAACTCAACTAAAACAAAGGTTTTTAACTAGTTAATACTCAATATCAATAAAACTGTTGATTCTAAGTGAGTAAACCATCTGTGTTACAACAACCTAAATTAACCTAAGACCTAACATTTAATACAATTCAATGTGTTAAAAATTAAATAGGCGAATATATCATTTAATGTTTAAAAACTATATATATTGAAAAAATCTATTGAAAAAAATTACTTGATTATTATGAAAATTAAAATTATATTCAATACAGCACTGGGTTTTAAGTTTATTGGTTAATTTAAGCTAATTAGGAGAACTACTACTATAAAAATGGATATGTTAATATTATTGAAAAAATCAAAAATAAGACAAATTCTAAAAAAGTTTATCATTAAAATAATAAAAACTCAATTATTTTTTAAAAAATTATTTTTAAGTTAAGCACAATTACATACTATTTAATCTTTAACTAATAAAGTGGAACTACTTAAATAGATTTTTTAAAATGAATGAATAATTAAATGAATGAATCTTTTAGTAAGACCTTCAATTATCAAATAATTTCATTGTTTCTAATCTGTCACCAATATCATAGAATTAATTTAAGTATCATCTGCAAACAAACCATTTTCAGAGTCTATATAATATTATATAGATATAAATATAAATTTATCAATTTTAATTAAACTGATAAATTCTGTTAAAAAAATTATTCTGATTCGTTTCATATTTCACAGAATAAATGAAATTCATTATTTTAGCCGTATATAGTATATTAAATAATTAAAAAAAATTTTTTAAAAAAAATTCATATATTTTTAAATGAAAAAATGAATAAAATAAATAAATTGACACATGAAAACTAAAATATATATTTTAGATAATGCCTAAAATATTGAAAACTTATAAGGTTTTTAAAATAGTATGCGGCACACATAAAAATTAAATAGAACTTTTAATTGGGATTAACATATAAAAGTTGAAGGGAACACTACTATGTTTCGAACAGATAGACGTATATATGGAAAGTTTTCTTCTTTATTTTTAAGAATTAAATTAATTGTTTTCAAATTTAATTTAAAAAAAAATTTTGTTGTAATTATACATATGTATGCACATAAAAAGAAAATTAGAATTTTTAATCCTATTCAATAAATGCAACAATATTCCTTTCTAGGAAGCATCTCTACTTTCTTTTGCCGCCTTAGCTCTAATTAATCACTCTCAAAAAGAAATTACTATTAATAATAATAATTGACAATAAAAATTATTATTATAAGTAAATTTATAACGATTTGTTATCAACTATGACAGTTCATTATCAATTAATTTTATTTACGTTGAAATCTATAATAAAGACTAGACTAAATAATAAAAATTTAATATTAAAAGTATTATAAAATAATTTTTTTATATCTTACACATAAATGTCAGGATAAAACGAAAAAAATTATTCATATTAACAAAATACATTCTAATTAAATTTTATTTAAATCATTTTAAATTTGTTTATATTATTTTTTTTAATAAATGGAGAGTTATGTTTTTTATTTATATACAATATTATTTATTTATGTTATAATGTTCGTTATTCAATGATATACAATTCCAAATTAAGAAGAAAAAGATGTAAACTTAAATAAAGGAAGAATACGATCACACACACACAGTTATATATACGAATAACATCAAATAAAGTTATTTAATAAAAATTATATGTCAATCTTTCGAAACTAAACAATTATTTTAATTTTGTTTTATCTTCAAAATAATTTAAAATTGTAATTGTTTAATTTTGAAAATAAAATTAGGAAAGTTAAGTGAAAAATGTGAGCATTTAAGTTAAGAATTATTTAAATTATATGCATATATTGAAAAATATTTTAATAATTACAGGTTAAAAAATATCACTTGTGAGGAGTTTGTAGATTTTCATATGCATAATAATGAAATAAATTAAAAATAAGTAATATAATAAAAATTAAAAGAAATACAAACTAAAATGAAACCTAAATATATAATAAATATAAAAACATATTCAAGCTGGAATTCAAGTACTGCCGAATTTAATATATAGTAATGTGTATTAAATATTATTATTTTAAATTAAAACAGTGAATAGAATGAGTTAATAAAAAGCAGTATTTTTATTTCTAAAATCAGAAAGTAAAAATGGGTTGAAGCAAATCTGAAACAAAATCTATATAATTAATAATATGTAGAGAAACCTTATATGTGTTTGCTGAAAAAAAATTTTTTTCATTATAATGGAACAAAATCATAATTTCAAAAATTGTTTAAGTATAAAGTTTCATTAAAACTCTCTTTTCTTTCTTTTTTATTATTCGAAGCATACAAGTTGTCTTAATTACAATAAATATAATAAAAAAAAATTGCACGTATGTTATATGTAATTAGGTAAAAAATTGTATACTTGAAAAAATATATGATTTCATATTAATATTGTTGATATCATATTAATAATAATAAGTAATTATTAAAAGTTCTTCACATCCTAAACTCGGATTGCCAAAACAAAACATGCTTTATTTATTTTTAACTGAATTAAAAATTTAATATAGAATTATTTTGTATTCAAAACTTCGTTTATTTTAAATTAAAATTTTTTAATAACACTACAAAAAAAATTAAGCAGTCACAATCTTTTGTAAATATTTTATATCTAAATTAAAAATTAATTTACCACAATTACCACAATTGGTGTTTAAATGAAAGCAGCCTTTTAATGAGTGTCCTTATATGAAAGCAACAAAGTCTAAAAAGAAAGAGGAATATCGAATTCTCTCACCTTTATTAAAAAATAGCAAGAAAATATTATTTTGAATAAAATAATTTTAACAAGAAAATATAAATTTATAAGCACATATATATATGTTAAAATGTATTTGTTTTGTAAATAATTGTTAGATCACAAAAATGTAAAAACGAATTATTCATTTTAATGAGTCTTAAATATTTATTGATAATTAAATGCATAATTTTAATATGAAATAAAATAAAACTTATTACTAAAATGTATATATATCTTATTTATGGTTTGAGATAATCGTAAAATATGAAATGAAATGATCAATAAAATACATTTGGCTGGACGCACAGAGGATTCATTACAATGTCAATGAATATCCTGGAACTAAGATAATTGTTTTTTGCTGAATAAAGTAGAACTGTGTCGTACAACATTTGAGTTTTAATAAAAATGCATTTGCTATGTAGAATAACAATATTTTTAAAAATCTATACGCATATATATAAAAATTTTGAAACTCATGTTATTATGAATTTACTATATGAAGTAATATACCAAGAAAGTCGTACCTGTAGTCTCTTTTATTAACTTAAGTCTTTCAACTTGATTAAATGCGTTAAATTAATATTTAAAACATAGAAATATAAAACATAATTAATTATTAAACATCATATTATTTTTTAATATACTTCAGAATATAATTGCTTCTATAGAACATAGGCTGCCTTTACTGCCGAACATATTAATAGCATTTACACTAACAAAAATTATGGTTGCACTACTTACAATGCTTACTGTCCTCATGATAGGCAAACTTCACATATTTATATAAGGTCGGAATAAAAGAAACAGCGAAAATAAAATTTAAAAGAAGTTGAGGTTAATGGTTTATTAAAATTACAAAAACCATTTTAATAAATTTTAATATATATTTATAATTAATTATTTTTAGAAAAATAATATAATATAATAAGAAATAAGTATTAAAAGTAGTTCAATATTTCTTAATGATAACTTAATACTAATATTAATTACATTTTTTGAAATACCAGATATTAGATAGATATTAAATTAGATATTACTAAATATTAATATACAGCTATAGTATGGCCACGTACGCACGAATGTGTATCCTTTTACTCCTAATATAAACGATCGAGCTGGTGCATCCATTATAAATATTCTAATATTGATTAAAATTTAATTTCAGAAATACAATAACATTGTATTTTGTATGTAGCCGTCGACATTCTCATTAATCACAGCAGGCTTGATTTTAATTCGATTATATTGACAATACAAAATTTGGAAAATGGCGCTTTACGCAGACGACACGTGCTTGATCTACTCGGATCGGGATGCCATAAATGTAAGCAACAC